TCAACACTGTCAAACTAGTTACTAAGTCTGCACTACTGTTAATCTTCTCATCATTCCCATCACCCATCTTCTTCTACTAATGACTGTATCCTTACAATTTATATTAACTGTTTCCTAATATGATTGGATTGCTTATTTGTACTGTATGACTATCATTAAGTGTTGTACCTTATGATTCTTGATGAACGTATCTTTTCTTTTATGTACACTGAGAGCGTATGCACCAAGACAAATTCCTTTTGTGTCCAATCACACTTGGCCAATAAAAATTCAATTCAATTCAATTCAATTCAATTCTCAATTCAATTCAATTCTTTTCTATTCTATTCTATTCTATTCTATTCTATTCTATTCTATTCTATTCTATTCTATTCTATTCTATTCAGTGTAGTGTTTTTCAATTGGGTAGGAGCAAAAGACAAGACTCTGTTACTGTTAGTGCTATGATCTCTGTCATTCTCCTTCGCAACATAGAAAAATGAAAATGGATTTTCAAAGGGGAAAAGAAAACAAGATTTTTTTAAAAAAAATATAGTGATCTAATTCTCTTAACATCAACATTCATAAAACTGAATTCCACTGAGAAAACTAATAGGCCAAAAATGAGTTTGCCGAACTGTTTAAAGATAAATATTAATTGATGTATAATTAAGTTTCCTTTAACAGAAAATTGAAATATATTCAATGCAAAAATTTTGATGCTGAAATAGGATTTCCTGGAACTAAATCTTATGTTTGACCCCCATGAAAAAAATCCCTTCAACTTTCGATTCAATTAATTCTCAATTAGTTCCCTTCAATTAGTTCTCAAATTTTGCATGATTTTCTCTTTTAGTGAAGACTCAACTAAACTGGTGAGATGATTGGAGGAAACTGCACTGATGTGGAAGAGTTTATTCTTCTAGGATTCACAGATCATGTAACCCTACAACGTGTGCTCTTTGCAATATTTTTATTGATTTATATTATCACTCTTGTGGGGAATATTGGAATCATTGTGGTTGTGAAAAATGATTCTCACCTTCAAACCCCCATGTATTTCCTTCTGAGCAACTTATCCTTCTTAGATCTTTGCTATTCATCCGTTGTCACCCCAAAGATGCTGATGAATTTCCTGGTACAGAAGAAAGTCATCTCATACACTGGATGTTTCTTACAGCAATACTTTTATTGCTGTTTTGCAACTACTGAATGCTACCTTGTGGCTGTGATGGCATATGACCGATATGTGGCCATCTGCAACCCACTGAAATATACCACCACCATGTCCAAAACTGTCTGCATTCCACTAGTGATGTCCTGCTATATAGCTGGATTTCTGAATTCATCCGTACAAGTGGGATTTCGTTTAAGATTAACCTGCTGTCATTCCAACATCATCAACCATTTCTTCTGTGATGGACCTCCTCTGACTCATCTTTATTGTTCTGACATACAACTCGTTCAGATTCTACTCTTTGCTTTTGTAGGATTTAATGAGGTTGCAACTACATCCCTAGTGGTAATCTCCTATTGCTGTATCATTGTCACAGTCCTCCAAATGCGTTCACTTGAAAGTATTTACAAAGCATTCTCTACCTGCTCTTCTCACCTGATTGTGGTCTGCACTTTCTATGGGACTCTTCTTTTCATGTACCTGCGCCCCAGCTCCAGCTATTCCTTGGAGCATGACAAGATTGTATCGGTCTTTTATGTTGTGATCATTCCTATGCTGAACCCCATCATATATAGTTTCAGGAATAAAGAAGTCAGAAATGCCATGAAAAAAACATTTCAAAGAATAGCCACTTCCCAATGAGTTGCACACACAATATAGGAGAAAATATTTATCCTACTCACTTGCCATGAATGCATTATATCACATTTACATATATAAAAAAATCTTTGAGGTTAAAGTAATTTTTTTTGCTATTCTTCAAAGCTTTTTTGCTTAATTTCTTTTATACATGCAATAAATGTTCTGTATCATGTCATTGAGCAGAATAAATTCCCTTCGTGAAATCCCCATTCCAATAATCCTAACAGATTGATTATTCTTTTCGTGTTTGTAGATTGCATGGAGGAATTGACTTCATAGGGAAAGTTGCTCCATCTCTCCAAGTTTCTGTTGTAACGTAATCAAAATGACTGCTCAGTGCTCCATATTTCATCATTCCTTCCTTCTGGAAGGAATGCCTTGTTTCTGAAAGGAAGCACCCATTTCCCTGTTTGGGAGTTACAGAGCCAAAGACAAAACACATTTTTTCAAGTTTTCTTTGTTGGCAGCAGTATTAATGATACTATAATCCTACATATGTACATAAACAATTTCAGTGAGATTTATTTAGAGAAACAGATATAAAATTCTAATGCAAGCTCTAGATAGCTAAGGATTACCAATTAGAAAGATTTTATAGCTTTCTGATGCCTGTGTGAAAGCAAGTGTTGACAACAACTGTTCATTTATCCAGACTGCATGTGCCTCAAGTTCTCATTTGAAATCCCATGATTGTGACTCTAGACCTGGATCAGCTGACAAACCTTCTACAATATTGGTACCCTTAGACTTCATTTGGTTCCTCCTGTGCATCCTTTAAGGCAAGCAGGCTGTACTTTTGAGAATCTCTCTCTCTCCCCTCCCCCCCTCTCCATTTGTATTCATATCCCCTTTTTTATTTACTTCATAAAAGTTATCAGTGAAATTTGCACCACCTCTCTATGTGCTTCTGTGTTCTTGGCACAGGATAATACCAACCTTACGAAAGTTATCTAGGCATAGTCTAGTTGCTCAATTTAGGGTCTTGTTGCATCAGCGTGTAAGCTTTATACCCCTGTCTTATGAAAGCTCCTCACCAATTGATTTCTCAAACCAAAATATTGTGCTATTGTTTATTTTCTGACTTTAAAAAAATGTCTCTTTATGGCATTGAGGATATTCATGTGCCAGAAGATGCAACTGTGTTAGCAGCTTGGTAACTTTCTTCTGTACCTAAAATGCCGAAAAATTCTAGAAAATTGGAGAGAAATGCCAGATGCCTGAAAGAAGATGGTGGAAAAATGGTTTCTCTTTGGTACTGGTGTGAGAAGAGAAAATCCCCAGACATTTCTTAGAAAATTCTTTTCCTAAAGGAAATCTATTCCTCTTAAAAAGTGTAGCACTGGGACAGGGGAATTACTCCTCTTTCAGGCCAAAAGTAAATAGGAAGGTTAACTTTGCATCACAGCCTATCAGGAATATGAATCTCAGTAGTTTAAAAACAAACAGCTAATTAACGCCATACTTCCTAGTAGACATAGCCACATCTTCAGATGGGAGTCCTCATTCTAAGCCAATTTAGATAATTCTGAAAAGAATAAAAGAAGTACACTTTGTTTCTCCTGAAGTGTTTGTAGGATACCATGGCAAGTGCTCATTTATTTCTTCATCCAATGTGGCATTCAGTGTCTATTTAGACAAATACAACAGTCAATCAATAAAAGGGATATGACAACAAAGGTAAACCTCTAATGAAATGTTGTAGTGTTAGTAAATGCTCCTTCAGGACTCCTCACCCTCACCACTGTTTAAAACATGTCAGTGTCCTCTAAAATATTGGAACTGATGTTCTTAATATATTGTCTTTTGTTAGCAATAGAATCAAAATCACACTTGTTTAAAGATCTTCGATCTCAGATAAACCAGTAGGGTAGAATATGATATTTCAAAGATATATATTGAATCTGATTTCCACCTCATATAGAGCATAAACAGCATCTTGAATCATGCCAGATCAGAAACAAACTAGTAATTAGTTGCCATCAGAGTATATGCTTCTTATAATCAGCCCAGTTAGTAATTTGATCTGCAATATGTATATCCTGAAGTTTCAAATTTCAAGGGCGGTCTTTCATGCGGTATATTCTACTGGTACAAGTGGGATGTAAGTGGGATTTCTACATTATGATTGAATCTGACAGGTCCAGGAAAAAGACATGCTGGTCTTAATGAAACAAAGAAACTTAGCACAGATAGAATCACTGTTTCCTGAATGCCTTTTTGTCTGCTAGTAACAAGTTCTGTCTTATCTGTGTTAGATTCAGTTTCTTTCCCTTCATTAATTCCATTACAGTATTAAGCTCAGCCATTGCAGCAGAACTTGCTGCATTTCATAGGAAAAACACGGAAAGGGTTGTCTGCTTCATACAGGGTGTAGCAGATTCAAAACTGGTTTTGAATCTTTTCCATGTCCTCAATCAATTTTCCAGTCTGCTATCTCACACTCTTTAGAGTTTTTTTCCAAGTACAGTATACTTAGCAGAACTAGAGTCAACGATCTTCAACCAATCTGCATATGTAACTACTATTTTGTGCACATATAGTCCTTTTTTGTATTCTCTTGCACATAGCTGTGTTTTGATATTCTCCTCAGAACTTCAGAAACATGGAGTATTAGAACTTATCATTTTTAATAGGTTTGTTTCCCCATTCAGCTTCTTATGAATTGATTAATCTGGTGATAAACCTCATGATAAACTCTTCCCTTGTAGCCACAATAGATGAACCTGCTCCAATAGAAAAAACATTGGGAAAAAGAAATTGAGGAAGATGTTGGTCAATAATGTAGTGTTTTTCATTTGGGTAGGAACAAAAGACAAGACTCTGTTACTCTTAGTGCTATGATCTCTGTCATTCTCCTCCTAGAAAAATGAAAATGGATTTTCAAAGGGGTAAAGAAAACAAGAATTTTTTTAAAAAATATAGTGATCTAATTCTCTTAACATCAACATTCATAAAACTGAATTCCACTGAGAAAACTAATAGACCAAATATGAGTTTGCCGTACTGTTTAAAGATAAATATTAATTGATGTATAATTAAGTTTCCTTTAACTGAAATATATTCAACGAAAAATATTTTGGAGCTGAAATGGATTTCCTGGAACTAAATCTTATGTTTGACCCCCATGAAAAAATTCCCTTCATCTCTGAGAAATATTTTACATGATTTTCTCTTTCAGTGAAGACTCAACTAAACCAGTGAGATGATTGGAGGAAACTGCACTGATGTGGAAGAGTTTATTCTTCTAGGATTCACAGATCATGTAACCCTACAACATGTGCTCTTTGCGATATTTTTATTGATTTATATTATCACTCTTGTGGGGAATATTGGAATCATTGTGGTTGTGAAAAATGATTCTCACCTTCAAACCCCCATGTATTTCCTTCTGAGCAACTTATCCTTCTTAGACCTTTGCTACTCATCCGTTGTCACCCCAAAAATGCTGATGAATTTCCTGGTACAGAAGAAAGTCATCTCATACACTGGATGTTTCTTACAGCAATACTTTTATTGCTGTTTTGCAACTACTGAATGCTACCTTGTGGCTGTGATGGCATATGACCGATACGTGGCCATCTGCAACCCACTGAAATATACCACCACCATGTCTAAAACTGTCTGCATTCCATTAGTGATGTCCTGCTATATAGCTGGACTTCTGAATTCATCCGTACAAGTGGGATTTCGTTTAAGATTAACCTGCTGTCATTCCAACATCATCAACCATTTCTTCTGTGATGGACCTCCTCTGACTCATCTTTATTGTTCTGACATACAACTCGTTCAGATTCTACTTTTTGCTTTTGTAGGATTTAATGAGGTTGCAACTACATCCCTAGTGGTAATCTCCTATTGCTGTATTATTGTCACAGTCCTCCAAATGCGTTCACTTGAAAGTATTTACAAAGCATTCTCTACCTGCTCTTCCCACCTGATTGTGGTCTGCACTTTCTATGGGACTGTTCTTTTCATGTACCTGCGCCCCAGCTCCAGCTATTCCTTGGAGCACGACAAGATTGTATCAGTCTTTTATGTTGTGATCATTCCTATGCTGAACCCCATCATATATAGTTTCAGGAATAAAGAAGTTAGAAATGCCATGAAAAAAACATTTCAAAGAATAATCACCTCCAGGTGACTTGACACAAAATTTAGGAGAACATATTTATGCTACTCATTTGCCATGAATGCATTATGTCACACTTACAAAACCCTTTGTGGAATCTACAATTGCTTTAGAGTTATTTTTTACTTATCCTTCCATAATTTTTGTGCTGAGTTTCTTTTATGCATGCAATGGATGTTCTTTGTCATGTCACTGAGCAGAACAAATTCTCTTCATGAAATCCCCATTCCAATAACCCTAACAAATTGATTATCCTTTTCATGTTTGTAGATTGCATTGGCTTCATAGGGAAAGTTGCTCCATCTCTCCAAGTTTCTGTTGTAACGTAATCAAAATGACTGCTCAGTCCTCCATATTTCATCATTCCTTCCTTCTGGAAGGAATGCCTTGTTTCTGAAAGGAAGCACCCATTTCCCTGTTTGGGAGTTACAGAGCCAAAGACAATGATGAGCCTTGGACTACAGTGGTTTAAGCACTGTTATTAACACAGCTGCCTGCAATTTACTGCTGGTTCGAATCTCTCAAGGCTCAAGGTTGACTCAGTCCATCTTTCTAAGGTAGGTTAAATGAGGACAGTTTGTGGGGGCAATAAGTGACTTTGTATAAATATACAAAGTATGAAGGCTATTGCTTAACGCACTGTAAATGAGTCTCGGAGAAGATATATCAAATTAAACACATTTTTTCGTTTTCTTTGTGGCAGCAGTATTAATGATACTATATCCTACATATGTACATAAACAATTTCAGTGAGAATTTATTTAGAGAAACAAATATAAAATTCTAATGCAAGCTCTAGATAGCTAAGGATTATCAATTATAAAGATTTTATAGCTTTCTGATGCCTGGATGAAAGCAAGTGTTGACAACAACTGTTCATTTATCCAGACTGCATGTGCCTCAAGTTCTCATTTGAAACCCCATGACTGTGACTCTAGACCTGGATCATCTGACAAACCTTCTACAATATTTGTACCCTTGGACTTCATTTGGTTTCTTATTTTTGTTGATTTGTGATAGGGAAGGAAGGAAGGAAGGAAGGAAGGAAGGAAGGAAGGAAGGAAGGAAGGAAGGAAGGAAGGAAGGAAGACTAGAAAAGTCAGAAAACAGTTAAACGTTAACAGTCATTCCCCTAATAATATGAGAAACAATTTTATAGTCAAAGTTCTACTCTACTCTATTATTAAAGGCTGTCTGTTTTGAAAAGGTTGAGATGAAAATATCAATTTGATCATTCTTCACATAACATACTTATACTGTGGGATAATCTCAGTCTGAAAGAGGAAGTAATTTATCTTTCCTATTTAGTTCATTGACTAATAAAGACAAAAAACAAGTCAAAACATATATTTATAAGGATTTGTTTTTAAAAAAATGTGTTACAAATGTTTCAAATTACATATTTTTATATGGATTGTCCTTTTAAAAAGATGATGATAATTTCTTTAGTCTTAAGAGTCAGAAATAAAACAATGACACCAGAAATAGCTGGGAGCACTTCCATTTCATTATTTCTTACTTCTGATTGACCCAGTAATGAAATTCTCTGCAAGGAATAGAAAGAAATGTGAAATAATCTGTCTATTGACTGAACTGAAGTAATTGTATGTCACATCCATTTGGTTTTCTTGTTCTGCGATGGCTATCTTCCAGAATGCTTCCCAGTCTGACCTAAAGTTATAGTATGCCACATAATAGCCTATCCAAATACTAACCAGATCTGAATCTGTTTAGCTCTGGTGCTCACATATGGTCAACCAGATGCTGTTCCCTGAAACATACCACAGCATATTTTCATTCTATTTCATTTTATTGGTTGGGGCAACCATAAACACTAGTGGGGAGGATTTTAAAATAACTATAGCATTTTTTAATAAGCCACTTTGATTCAGGGGATATGGAAACCAGGAGATTATGAGTTGTAGACTCCCTTCATCATAAAAGCCAGCTGAGTGACCTCTCTCAGCCCAACACATTTCACAGGGTTTTTCTGGTGGGGAAAATAGGAGGCAGAAGTAGTAGGTATGTTTTCCAATAGTTATATTTATACATATATATAAATACTATAAACACACACACACTTATAAAATCACGTTAATGACATCTTTTAGTGTATTATGTTTAATCATGCATTTGTCAATCCAGTATGCAATAACATTTACAATTTAAATCTCTTTGTCCTAAAAAAGGCGTCCAATTACTCTAATTTCTTCTTAAAACTCAGAATACTGAGTTCACACTATATTGATGGCAGCAACTGTACCACGGTGGATGAATTCATTATTGTGGGATTTACTTAGGGGTGAAATGCTACTGGTTCAGGCCGGTTTGTCTGAACCGGTAGAAACAAATGTGACTGGTTCACTGAACCGGCAGTAAAAATGCTTTAAAAACGGTAGAGCTGATCGTCTGACCTTTTCTTTTACTTTTTTTAAGCATTTTTTTACTACCCATTCAGGCAATAGGTAGTAAAAAAATGCTTTAAAAAGTTTTTTAAAAGGTTCCGACAATTAGGTGTGACAATCAGCTGTGGCATGCGATCCTCAGAACTTTTTTTTATTATTATTTTTTAAAGCATTTTTTACTACCTATTGGGGGAAGTCCATTTTTGTTCCCAGGAAGCTTCCCTGAGGCCTGCTAGGCCAAAAACGGGGGATGAAGAGGGTCCGTTTTTGCTTCCAGGAGGCTTCCCTGAGGCCTGCTAGGCCAAAATGGGTGGTGGTGGGGGGTCCATTTTTGCTTCCAGGAGGCTTCCCTCAGGCTTGATAGGCCAAAAATGGGGGTGGGTGGAAGGATCTGTTTTTGCTACCAGGAGGCTTCCCTGAAGCCTGCTAGGCCAAAAACAGGGTTGGGTGGGGAGAGTCCATTTTTGCTCCCAGGAGGCTTCCCTGAGACCTGCTAGGGCAAAAATGGGGGGGGGTTTGCAGATGATTTTATACTATGCTTAGGTCAGATCGAAGACGGCGAAGTTCTAAATTGTCTAAGCCTAAATTTTTTAAGCATAAGGTATTTTGTTGCGAGCAGAGGAGTGGAGGACTCTTCTTGTAAAATATCTCTGGAATCGTTCGTTGTATTAATGTCCAATATTTATTTTATTTATTTATTTTATTTTATTTATATGCCGCCCTATCTCCATAGGACTCATGGCAGCTCACAACAATAAAATATCCAACAAAAATGTGTTAAAATACATGTTAACCCCCCCAGTCCAGATTGAACAACCATGTCTTTAAGTTGCGGCGGAAGGTGCGGAGGTCAGGGGCCAACCGGAGCCCCAGAGGAAGTTGGTTCCAGAGGGTGGGAGCACCTACAGAGAGAGCTCTGTCTCTAGGGGTCGCCAGTCAACACCGTCTAGCCGACCGCACCCTCAGTAGGCCCTCCCTGTGAGAATGCACTGGGCAATGGGGAGCTGTTGCTGGTTGCAGATGGCCCGACAAATATCCTGGGCCTAAGCCAATATGCAGTGCGGGTTCCAGACAGATGAGCTGTATTCAAGAATTGGTTTGGCAAAAGTTTTGTATGCCCTAGTTTGCAGTTCAATATTATCAGAGAAGAAATTACTTGTCAGTCACAGATCAAAAGATCAAAAAAGTCACAGATCAAAAGAAGGCATAGTCAAGACTTGACCAGACCTGAAATATCAATGTTCATTGACATTTCTTTTAAATGCCATGGAGTATGGAAGGAGCTTTTTTTAAATGTATTTTTTAATTCTCTTGAGCAGTAATTAAAATACAAAAATAATAAGTAGAGGAGAATGGTATGTTTTTATGTTCAGGACATGGAGTACCTTTCAGTGATCATTTAAGACCCTATTTAGAACTGTTTTACAAAATTATCCAACACACACACACACTTTTCCTTTATTACTCCATGGTTATAACTTTACTGAGTATGTACTTTTAAAAGAGGATTAAAAGTAGTTCATAACTCTCCCTACTAATACCCAGGATACTAATGATATCTAATACCCAGGATAATGCCCAATTCCCAACTAGTGATTAAAAGTGGTTCACAAGTCTCCCCATTGTTTACATCCAGAGGTAATGCATGCAACAACAGCATTTCTGGGTTGTAAATTGGTTGCCAAGAGTGTTGTTAGCTCAGCTACTCTTCAAGAGACTTATTTATTAATCTGAGTAAAATATTTATTTCATCAGCATTGTACAATCAGCAGAGAATAAGTGGCTTTAATGTATCTAAAGCCAGAGAGCTAATTTTTTTAATATGCTTCTGCCAAAATAGATCAGGGACAAAATAATTGATTCTTTGGATATGTTGTATCTGAGGGAACTGGCCCCTAACAATATAATCAAAGTGGGGAATAAGATAGAACTATGTATATAAGTAAAGGGTTTTACATGCATGCATATGTCTCAGAAACACAAAATAATATGTGAGAATTGTTAAGAGAATACTAAAACTTTAGAAATCCTGTCTATCATAAAGCTTGTCATCCCAAATCAGCTGATTACTAAAAGCAAAGACATGTAATTAAAATCCATGATCTGATCTTGCAGAAGATAATATTATCAATCTTTTGAGCCAAAATTTGTCAAACTCCCTGATATTCAATCCTTATTTATTAAAAGTCGGCAATATCATATAAACACAAGCAGCCTGGTCATTCTCAGACTGAAAAATCTCCCTTGAATCAATGAGATGCAAAGAGAACAAAGCTCCTACATCCGTGATGGCGAACCTATGGCGCACGTGCCACAGGTGGCATGCGTAGCCATATCAGTGGGCATGCGAGCTTAGCTCCAGTGCACATGCGCGCCAGCCACCTAATTTTCGGGCCTTCTGGACCCACCAGAAGTAGGGGAACAGGCTGTTTCCTGCCTCCAGAGGGCCTGGGGGGATGGGGAAGACCCATTTTCCTTTCTCAACTGGCTCCAGGGCCTCTCTATGAGTCTGGGGAGGGTGAAAATGGCCTTCCCCACCCCACCCCCAGAGGCCTCCGGAGGCCAGAAAGGCCTGTTTCCCAAGTTGGGAATGGGCCGTTTCCGGCC